GCCGTGGGTCGAACCGGCGCTGCAGAAGCTGCGGGCAGCTTCACAGCCCAGCGCTCAACCGCTGCACCACCGGGAAGGCCCATAACTGAGCTTTTTAAACTTTCTTAGTGATGAGTTTGAGGGTAATTGACGGCTGTGCTTATTTTGTTTAATGAACACTTACATGTCGCACGTATATGCCAGACACTAGGCATATAAGGCAACTCATAAATACTTATTTAATTCTTATAATAACTTATGGGTCACCCCCTTTTATAGGTGAAGAAACTGAGGCATGAGGAGTTTAAGCAGTTTGCTCAAGGACAGTTACTGGGAATAGCGTGGGGATGATACCCCACCAAGAGCTCCAAAGGTTGTGGTTTTATCCCCACAAGATAGTGGCAATGACTGTAAAACATTTAACATTTCAAAAGGACACATACACCCTTGCTAATTTTAAATAAATGTGAATCAATGTAAAAACTGAACATCAAGAATGAACATAAGCTACTATTTGCTCCCACAATTCAGTTCTAAAGTTCTCACAAAAACAAGAAAGGATTCTATTTAGAACCTGAGATATCTGTGGGACAAAAGAGAATAAAGTCCCAGTTTGGAAAAAAAAAAAGAAAGAAAGAATAAAAGAAAGAAGGAAAGGAAGAGAGGAAGGGAAGGAAGGGAGGGAGGGACGGAGGGAAAGTTCAACAATGGATTGTTTGCATCACCTCAAAGTATGTAAAGGTAAAACCTTGTCTCTCTTACTCATTTTTCTTTTTTGACTCTGCTCATTGACAGCTTGATAAAATACAGCAGAAATAATTTCCTTGCACAGTGCCTGAGATGGAGGAGGCAGTTCAACATATATTCAATGAAGAGTCCCTGGAGTGCATTCTGTCTTGGACAGGTTACGAGAGTTGAGCATTTTTACAAGGTTTTATGAAAATTCTTAATGTTAGCCATTCCCCGATTCCTCCGGGTTTCATGTCCACGTCTTCCTCACATCAGAGTAGATGACTTGGGGACCCTGGGAGAGACACATGGGAGGGAAGACCTAAATGAGCAAAAGAAGGGATGTGGTGGAGGGATATAAGCTGGAATCTAGCTCACCTGACCCTCCAGAAATGCCCTCCTGGTGTTGGCTGCAAAGAGGAAAAAAAGTACTGAGCTCGTAGGCTCCTACTTAGATCTCATTCTCATACTTTATGTCCTGGGCACTGAACTGTTGTGCTTACTGTATGGATTTCCCTTTTCTGTTCTTCTGTAAACCAGCCCCTAATATCATTCACTGTAAAATCCTTCTAAGTCTCCATCCACCTCTAAGCCCTCCACCAATACCACTTAACAAACCCCTACCTCTCTCTGATGCAACTACCCTGGATTATTATCTCTAAAATCTTTTTCTTTTGACTCCTCTGGCCATTGCAGGTCTCGAGCAAGTCTCACTTTCTTGTCATTCCTCTATGTTCTTTACATAACCAGCCACAAGTGGTTCAGCTCACCATGTAGAAGGAAGTGGAGACTCAGGTATAAGAGAAGTGTGATCCTCAGTCACACAGTAACTAGTGGCTGCAGTAACTTCTCAGGGATGTCTGCTTCTTTCTCTTTCTTTCCAGGTAAGCACAAAAGAACTGAATCTCCCTCCTTGCACTAACTGTGAATCAGCACCTACAGGACCTGGAAGATAAACATCTTCTAGGAGATAACTGGAGATAATTGTACCTTTTTAATTTTGTTTGGTCACAGATACAGAAGGGAAATAACAGGATAATCAATCTTCTGCATGAAGCTGCAATAGCACAGGTCTAAGCAAGGCTGACAGATGGCCCAGCTTCAGAGGCTGAGAAGAAAGAAGCTGGATAACTATCTCCCAGTAAGGTAGTTGAGCTGCCAGCAGCCACTGCCTCTACCAGAAGTAGCCAGGATCACAGACCAAAGGGCAAGCTCTAAGTTTGCAGCTTCAATAGCACTGGGGTAGCAGCCTGAAGGACACAACTCTATACTGTTAAAGACCTAACATCTGAATCATTGCAAAGTTATATGTTGAAGTGAAACTTCTCTAGGTTAAATTTATCTGTTTATCCTATTCCAAGACTACAGGTCCTTTCACTGAGACACTGCAATGACCCTGACTTGAGTGCTATGACTAGATATTCTCACCCTGGTCTGATCTTAACCCTTTGCCTAAATCCCAGATTCTCACTGATTGTCTCTTCCTAATTGAATGAAGACTCAGTGGACTATCTGCCTTTGTTTTGTTTTGTTTTTAATTCCACTTCTCCACAAGAGCCTGCCTGTAGATATGTCTTGCTCCCTCTTGTATCTACACATTTCACATCAAAAGTAAGCAACATATTGAAACCTCTTTTGCACACATAGTGCCATTATCCTGGGATGATGCAACTGGCAGGTGCCCCTTAATAGCTTCTCACCTGAGCCTTCTGGATATTGGATGCTTAAGACCTGGGAATAAACCACAACCACACCTAGAGGGTCCACTGCAGAGAAAAGACAAGATTCACAGATATCCATAGACAAAAGTTCAAACTTCATACACGTCTTCCCAGTTCCCTACTTCATAACTGTGTTCCCAACCCCAACACGATTCCAGGAGAGCCACTTATTTATTGCAAGTGACTGGGCCTCGTGGTGTTGGGGTAGTTAGACCAGCTAATGGTCTTTTCTCCTGCTCTTTCCCCTCTGTGCCCCAGCAGACATTCACCATTATCATACACTGGCTGCAGCTCTTGGCTTCTGGGAGTGGGCTGGAGTGGGGAGGCTCTGGAAGGTTTGGGCTGGAAGCATCTCTGGGAAAAAGGTAACTAGCATGATAGCCCCCAGGACAGCGAGTGAGAGTGGGGAGACAGGCTGGAGGGAGCGTGGGTGGAGCCAGGCAGGCACAGCACTTGGGTGACTACAACCTTTTTCTGAATGGGTTACTCAAGCTGTCACCGAAAGTCATAGCCTATTGCAACTCACATAACCACAAAGTATTTTCTGAATAGGATAGTCACACTGATTTGGAAAACATTTTCTATTCCTCATCTTTAACTTTCTCAAACATCATAAATAAGACAATAATAATTCCCAGATTTAATATTTTTCTGTTATGAACTCTCGTAGAAGAACTTCATATGCTCCTTTCTGATTATTTTATGTCTCTCTCTCTCTTTTGTCTGTACATGTCCCTTAAGGAAATTAACTCCATTCCATGCATATTTTCACCTCTCTAAATGTCTAACAAAAGTTTACTCATATATTATAGGTATTCAACAAATAATCTTTAACATATTAATTAGCATATTAATTTATAAATATCAATTCTATGCAAAAAAAGGCATGCAGGCCACCCTAACACAGTACACTCATAACATAAATATAATAGAGACATGAGTAAGCATCATAGAAAGATACCTTATAATCAGATTGCCTTAATTCCTATGTATAAATAGAGTAGTAATAAATCTTTAAAACTGTGAATATGGGAGCTTCTAGAGTTGCAATTTTGAGTAAGAAAAGTTGTTCATCTAAGTGCAGCCATGGCAGAAGTCCCTCCTGAAAAGCAGGTAAAAAAGAAAGAAAAAAAACATTCATTTCAAGGGAGGAAGTTTTATTTGTTAAAACTTTTATATGCTTTTCCATGTGTAATTAGATAGTAAGTGATAAGATATACAAGAAAAATCCAATTATATTCTGTCCAAATGACTACATATTTATTCTAACACTGTTAACTCAAAAGCCCATATGTTTTCAGCACTTATTTGAAACATCACTTCAAATGGCAAACCCCAAATGCATTGGTTACTGTCTATTCGTGCACCTAAACCATGTTGCTTCAATTATTACAAAATATGCTTTAACTGTTGTGTCTCTAAGTCTATATTATTAATCTTCTCATTTAGATTTTTCATGGCCATTCTTATTTTTTTAAAAGCATTCCCATTCTTTTTTTTTTTTTTAAAGATTTATTTATTTATTTATACAAGCACTGGGTACAGTCAGAAGTGCGGGAGGGGGAGAGAATTCACCAGAGCCAGAGTGGGGAGCAGAGCAGGCAGAAGGACCGAAGCACACTGCTGAGGGGAGCAGCGGGTGGCAGGAGAGGTCTGCGCACCATGTGGGACCCTCACCAGTGGCCGGGGATCGAACAGGTGTTGCAGAGGCTGCGGACATCTTCGCAACCCAGTGCTCAACCGCTGTGCCACAGGGGAGGCCCGCCATTCTTATTTTTTAAATGTTTTGGTATTTGCAACACCCACTCCATAGTAGTCTTGGGGTTAAGCTTCAGACTGACATTTATAAGGACTGACAGGCTATCTGCTGCCCCAGTGGGTTTCACAGAGATGTAGGACAAGCCCATAACACACCTGCATGGATGAATCAGGTGTGGCATCAGAGGGATACTTCATCATGACTGAGAAGTTTTTGACAGTCCAGGAACTAAAATCTCAGGGAACATAACCATACAGATGGTACAGTTGTCACTACAAAGGAGTGATCATTTTCAAAAGTCACATTGTATTAGGGGTGCCTCTTTTTCTGCTTTCCACCAAGCATTTATGTTCCTGATGAGAGTCTTCCCAGCCTAGCTGCAGTATACACATCAAGAAAAATGTTACCCAGTAATTCAACCAACCTCCCAACTTTTTCAGGTTTTCTGGAAAACAGCGTTAGAAGGTTTACTTAAGCTCAGTTTCCCAAAGAGCAGGAGAAACTTTAGTTTCTCTCATCTTCAAGAAAAGGAAGCATTGTTACAGGCCTGGGGGAGAGGTACCCCAGGAACCCCAAACCTCTCTTCTATAAATAGGTCCTTCCATACACCACATAAAGACACAACATACCCTAGTGTGTAAGACCTTCAATGGAAAAGAAATTCAATAAAAGTGGCATGCTATAGAGAGATGAGAAAGAGTATCGTCTCCAAATTAAGCACCCAAAGTTACCCATTCACTTGTGAGTAAGTGCTCAGCCAAACAGGGATGGCCTAAAGCAGGAATGCTGAGGCCTAAAAGCCTGCCACAAGTCTAAGGCACTTTGGTGGGAACCTACAGAGAAGGGGCAGAAAGGTTCAGACATGTCTGGAAGGAAAAGATCAAAATCAAAACCAAGATAAAGGCTGCCATTGTCAACCTCCTCACAGGTCTGCCAACCACACTTGCTTCAAGTGTCTCCTTCCATGTCCCCAATTCCTGGTACAAGTCCAAGCAAGTGCAGTTTCTTCTTCACATATCTCTGCTCCATGTCCCTTCTTCAAGTCTTCTTGATCTCCATCCTTCCTTCTCCTTGTCTTTTCTCAGTCTCTCCTCTCTGTCCAGCTCCACCCTTCCTGAGAGTGGGCCAGGGAACCTGGACCCCCCCCTTTCTCTGGGGATTACACTCTTACAGCATGATTTCAGAATTTTCTACCAACCCAATTTCAAGTATAAGGGCAAGGAATTCATATTTTCAAACAGCATGACAATGGTGTACATAGTTCTAGCAAGTCTTCCTTGAATGAATGAGTTTTTAAATAGACTCTAGTCTACCTTATAAGCACTGATGAACAATAACAAAAATTGATCAAATGTTGACTCACTAAAGAAATATCAAAAATATTTTAAGGGAGTCTAGCAAGATGGCCAAAGAATAAAGACACTGGGATTCTCTCCTCCACATATTCATAACTAAAATTTATACAGATAAAGATAATGGTCCCTAGAGGGTAATTGGATGACCACTCTTTCACAAAGAAAAGTGACACAGCAGAGCGTAAGAAAAAAATTGTGTTTAGAATGGTACCAGGGCAATGAAATCCAAAAAAGGGTCAGAAGGCTTCAATATGAAAACTCTGTTGCTTTTGACTGAAGGGCTCACATCTACACTGGGAACTTTAGAACTGGGGGACATAATTGTCATGCAAAATGGAGGGGGTCTATCTCCAGAGGACAGTGGGAGTCAAGTAGTAGAGATTGTGATTGAAAACAGGGAAGCAGATTGACACTGGCAAACGCAGACGCCATACTGTTAGAAAGCAACCATGTGATCAGGACTAGAGGGTAAAACACCCACAGCAGTGCCTACAGGTTTCTTGAGGACAGTGGCAGTCCTAGTGACAACTAGTGTGGAGCTTGTTTTAGGTGGTGGTAGTGAGCTTGAACTTGTGTCTTTAGGAAGTAAGCAGTTGGGACCAAGCTGGTGGAGAGGACTAGATTGGAGGACCTCAAAGTGAGGATGAAGAAGTTGACCTGCATTTTTGCAAAAAAGGCTCCTGTCTATAATTGGTTACCGTATTATGCAAACAGCTGCCTCACCCCTGCCCAGAATCAAAGTGAGATAATATCCACAAAACTGTGCATGCTGTCTCTAATCAGTGTAAAGTTTCAAAGCCCTGGCAGCTGGAGTTAGTACCTCAGATCAAGTTTCTGTGCCTGAAATTCTTAGGAAACAGACCCTGACCTCAAATTGCAGGGGAAGCAGTGTTTTGTGAATGGCATGTGCAAACCTTGCGAAACACTTGGTTCTCATCCACCTGTGATCATAACAGAGAGGGTAACCTATCTGCAGTGTGATCCTGAAGCTCTCAGAATCACTCTTCCCCTGCCCATACCTCGGGGAGAAAAACTACTGGTAGTAAAACCTGCAGAGCCAGACCACAGCTATGGGACTGGTGCTAGCCTGAGGCTATTGGTGAAGCTTTGACTGAGGAACTGGCCTAGGAGTGGGGGTTGTTGTAGTTTCCCCAGTCCAAATCAAACACCTACAATGCCTTAGAAGGCTTGATATCTTTGTACTTGCTAGCAGTAACCTCCTAGTACTCCATCGCCCCAGCTCCTACCTCCCACACCTTGCCACACTAGAACACCAGTCACCCAAAAGATACAGAGGCTTCAGTCTATAAAGCCACAGGCATCCTAGGATGATGTGTTGCAAACTGTAACCTTAATATATAAAGCAACGAGGGCCTCCCCGGTGGCGCAGCGGTTGAGCGCTGGGTTGCGAAGCTGCCCGCAGCCTCTGCAGCGCCGGTTCAATCCCTGGCTGCTCCCCGGCCACTTGAGGAGGGTCCCACATGGTGCGCAGAATTCTCCTGCCGCCCGCTGCTCCCCTCAGCAGTGTAATTCGGTCCTTCTGCCTGTTCTGCTCCCCGCTCTGGCTCTGGTGAATTCCTGTGCTTCTGACTGTACCCCAGTGCTTGTATTAATTAATTAATTAATTAATTAATTAAATTTTTAAAAAATCAAAAAAATATATATAAAGCAACGATGCCAAGACATGGAAAGAAAACCCTTTTTTTTCAATTCATGGAAACTAAAAATTAAGTGACAACCATCACAATTATGTAACAAACCCCCTGGAGAAAAATCTAAATTCTGCAGAACTATGTAATTTATCTAGTGATGTGACATGAATGATAGAAAACTGCATCCTAGGAGAGTTCCTCGCAGAAATTGTTTGTTAAGCAATCTGAGGCTGACAGACTTTAGGTCTGAAAACAGCATCTGAGGGACATTAGACTAAAATCAAGCAAATCCAATTATATAAAAATAAAAATAATAAGTTAAAATTTAAAATAAATGAATAAATATGGAAAATTTTTGCAAGAATATATGGGGATTTTTTAGCATTAAACAATACAGGAATTCCACAATACATGCCAAAAAATCCTCAGAATGTAGAAATAAAAAAGTGATAAATTAAACTACATAAAACTGAGATTGTGCAAAGATGAAAAATGATGTAAAAATATATTTTTTTAATTAAGGATTTTTATTTAATTTAGAAATTAGTTTAAACTAATCTTCAATTAATTTCACTTAAATGAAACTCTCCATGAAACTGGTGTTAATATCAGCTATCTGAAGTCACACTTGACCAGGTTGCACCTGTGATTAAAATCTGTTCTAATTTAGTCACCCTGGATCTGTAGGCAAATCCAGGAAAAAATAGTTTCACTCACGTGAGTTAAAAGATTGTAAGTGCTAGCCAATGACTGTGTGGAAGCTTGATGCAGTAATGGTCTATGTCCCTTATCTTCCTGTATGTGTCATTTTGCGATGTGACTTTCTCACTCCTTCAAAAAGAGGCAGAACTACTTCTCTACTACTCACATTTGGGCATGGCATGTTACTTTAGCTAACAGGACAATAGAAAATGTGGCTAAATAGGAGGGAAAGCATTTTCACTTTCTCTCTTCTCATTCTATGCTCTCTTCATGGAAAGAACAAATATAGTATCACTTTAAACCTTTAGAGGGGCCAAATATATGTTAAATGTATCCTGGAATAGATGTGAGGCAAATTTATTTTCTAATTTTGGGGGTGAGTAAAACAGAGCAGAACTGGAGACCCACATAGAAGGCTCTGGAAGGGTATCTTATCTTCTAAAAGTGCAAGGGGTGATAAAGCAGGAGGTTCTAAAAAGAAGTGAAGGGCTGGAAAAGTTATTTTGGAAATAGAGAAGCAGAAAATGAACTAGTTGGTGTAACATCACAATTCCTTAGTCTTAGACGATCTGTTTAAAATTTTTATTTCCACTGGACTTGAAAAGTTAGATTAAATTTTTACTATGTGGATAAAATTGAAAGGTGAGTTTCAAATTTCTTTCACTTGGTGCTTGTAGCTATGTTTAAGGAAGTATTTAGTAAGAATTTAAACGTTTTTGTTGAGGTTCTGATATACTCCATCCTAGCCCTGTATTTGATAGATTAATAAATAACATTTTCTGAAATAAGCGAAGCTTAAACAGGGAGTTTCAGTCAGGAGGTGCAACAAAGCCAGGCGGGAGCTTTACGGTCAGGTAGATGTGTTCTGCTCTTAGATCTACCATCCTTGGGTTCTGTGAACACAGCACACTAGTGAGCTCCCTACAAATTGCTAAACATTAACAATAATATGCACTTGAAGGTTCTTCTTTATAATTACAGATGATTTATGAAAGAAAGCTTGCAATAATAGACCCAGTAATTGGCCATTGGCAGCATTTTTGACTAATAGAATACTAATAGGAACTAGTATGATATATAAATTAAAGGAACTCCCAAAACTGTTGTCTTAAAAATGTTACAAAGAGATATGGTCATGCTGCAAATGCACTGCAGCTTTATGAAGTGTTGGTTATAAAAGGTGTTTTTATGCTCCCAGTGATAAGAGGAAGAAATTGAACTAACCTTTCTCTGAGAATAACTAGAAATGTTGGGTAAAATAGTTTGCTTGTTTAAAGCTATTTAAGGACTAAGATAGTGAAAAATGTCTGAGACAAGATAAGAGGAAAAGCTCAGAGAGACAAATTTGCCTGTAACCACATGTTCCCTGGGGGATTTGCCAAGTTCAGAGAGGGCAACTAAGAGGCTCATGGTGTTGATCGACATTGATTGGAATTTAAGGTGGTATGTGTGGAAATTGTTAAAATATGGCTATGAATTCTTTGACAATTTTTCCACTTAGAGACGGTTTCTATGCTTTCTCCCCTGGATCTGAGCAAGTTTGTTAGGTGCTAAAACCCAATAAATTTGTAATAGGAGTGACACTGTAATCTTTAAATTAGTTGATAAAAGATGCTGCAGATTAACTGTCACACTTGCTTTTGAAGTCTGAGTTCACATGTAAAATGTTTCCTTTTTTTTTTTTCCCATAAAAGATGTGGGGTATAGGCCAGACATGCTGTGAGGTGAGAGATTCACCAGAGACAGAGTGGGGAGCAGAACAGGCAGACTGACTGAAATACACTGCTGAGGGAAGCAGTGGGCAAGAATAGGAGAGGTCTTCTGTGCCATGTGGGTAGCTCCCTGGCTGGGGATTGAACTCAGGCCATAGCAGTGGTAGTGCTGAGACTTAACCCTTAGGCCACCAGGGAGGACCGTAAAATGTATACTATTCTGAGGTCACCTTGCTTTGAGGAAATCCAGGCCCATTAGTAGTCATACTTTTATACTCTATTTGACAGTCCTAACTGAGGCCAACCATAGTCAGCCTCAACTGCCAGTCATGAGGGTGAAGTGACCCCATATGATCCATATAGTGGATCCAGGAATTCAAATGGGGTAACTGTTTTTGTCTTGAGTAGGATAACTAATAAGAAATGGATAAATAACAGAAAAAATGTTGCATCAAATTCCCTTAATTCCTTACATCTAGCTCATTATTGTATTTTATTCCATTGCATATAAACTAATTATGCTTATTAAAAGTATTAAACGACATTTAAATAATTGAAATTTTTACTTTAAATCAAGCATGGAGGGATGTATTAATGGTTTTAATTTCAAGTGACTACAGACAGGGGAAATGACATAATGTAAAATTAGTAAGGTGGAAACATTGCTCACTGGCTGAAAACTTGCAGGATTATAAAGCATAAAATGAATTGATTGGGGAAGTTGTTTTTTTTTTTTTCCAATTCCAGCCACAGCAGTAAAGAGGAAAGAAAACAGTGAATACCAACCTGATGTCTTAGGCCAACAGTAAAACAGCAATGAAACAGAGTAACAGCAATGAAACCAAGGATACCAGATAAAACCCCAAGAACTCTGGCTGTGACGAGGTCTCCTCTGTAGGCATCAGTCCCTGAGGAAAGCAGAGGAAAGTAGAGCTCCAGAGAGTAAAAGCTTGGGCCCTGGCGTCCCTAGCAATACTTGGAGTGATGGTAAATATGAATTCATGTAGGTTTATTTAAAAAAAAAAAAGTGTGCACTGTGCACGCCAGTGTGGAGAGAAGAGAAGCAGCCAGGCACTGGGATAACCGTCTGTAACTCCCCCAGCAGCAGACATCACCAAGCACAGCACAATCTTCTGAAACCACAATATGATACCAAGAAAGGCTGACAGGACAGAGCCAGTGATCAGACTATACCTGCGCCCAGACACTGTGAACCCACCTGAAATGAAGAATGGCACCATCTCACTGCACTGGGCTCCCAGGCCATTATCAGCCTCACAGGTGTAGTTTCCAGAATGTTCTGTGGTTAGAGAAAGATTGACAGACAACCCTCCTCCAGAGGGGGCTGAGCTATTTCCCAGGGTGACATCCTCATGATAAAACCGATACAGGATGGGGGGAGACCCCCCTCTTGGCATCACAGTAAAGCTCCACCACGTCCCCCACCGCAGCCTGGACAAAAGCCCCGAGGGTGAGCACAGGGCGGGACACTGGAACTAACAGAAACAAAGGGATCTAGCAGAGGACTGGGATACCACAGCAGACTCAAGCTTCCCTGTGGGGTCTCCACCCAAGGCCCTGGTCCACAAGGTACATTACTTCCAGTCTCACATCCCCACAAGAATATTCAGAGGTGATTTTCCCAACAATGTCTTTAAGAATGGGGGCGGGGGGAGTATCAATATTGGAGTGCTGTCTAGAAACATGGCTATATCCCATTTTCATGTGGACTTTTTTCCTATGCCAACCCAGCCCTCTTTAAGTTTCCCTTCATGAAAAGAAAGATGTCAGCAGTTTATCTTGCAAGGGTAACCCATCCTCAAATTGCAGTTGCTTCTCCACAGCACTCTCCCTGGGATCTTCCTTGTGACTCCTGATACCTGGTAACTGTGGTTTTGGGTTTCTGTCAGAGATGAATGGGAGTGTAACTCACTTTTTACAGGGATTTTCACCACCTTGCTCTGGATGGGATCATGACCATTGTCAGCTCTGCAGTAATATTCACCAGCATCACTCTCCTTCACAGTAGGGACCTCCAGCTCTGCTGACAGGCAACGCTGTGTCTTCGTTCCCACACTGTATCCTGTGGTCTCTCTGTGTCAGGAAAACGTGATGTTTCCCATGCCCTCAGCCACTGAGCACAGTAGGATGAGACTCCCTCCTTCAATCACCTGTCCCCCAGGGCTCGCTGACTGTAAGCTTACGTTGGAGAGTAGGACTCCTGCATGGACAGGAGGTAACATCTGAGAACCTTGACTGTAGGAGATGGTGGAACCAGGGTTAGGCTGATCTCATTCTCTGACGCAAGCCGTGGGAATATGGTGATAGCATATATGATGTATTACAAATATACAGAGAGAGAGAGCCCATGGTAATTTCCCTTGAAGACTGACTATGAATGCAGTTATTTGTGTGTTTCACACCCAGAATCTGGGTCCAGATATTTGTGTCTTAAGCTTAACACACAAAGACAGGTATCTGTGAATCTTAACCTTTAATTCCTGGCTAATTTCATGAGTAGCAATTATTAAAGAATTTGTGATGGATTGTCCACTCCATGAGACAGGAAACATTTTGAGGGGTTGAGTCACTGTCTAGACAGATGTCTTTTGCAGAGTAAAGAGAGTCATTTCACTGGTAGTGTTACTTCTAGCTTGGATAAGGCATTGTTCCTAATAACAATACTACTACTAATTCCTCCATTATTCCCAATTTCAGGGAGCAACACAAATTGCAACCCCTCCTCTGAACCCTAGTTTACATTGATTTCTGCTTTCTCAGATGCTTCACTTAGCTCTATATGTCATGGTACCATGTTGCCTTCTAGCAAATCCATTTGTGTTGCAGTCCAGTAAGTGGAAAATCTGAAGAGCCACTGGAAAGCAGGTGCCTTGTCTTGTAAAGCTCCCAGTCTACTGCTAAAGCCAAGGTATATGACCAGACATCAATGAAGAGCTGCTTGATGAATATTGCTTAACTAATAAAGAAGAGAAACATTATGATGAGTTTGATCCATTGTTATTGTTATGCAGCGAGATGCCAAAAGCAATTTGGAGTTTCTCTAGCCCCGTTCCCACTTTCCACAAGGACAGAGGTTGTGCAAAGAAACACAGAGACTAGTAGTCTAAGTCAAAACCAAATTTGTCTCTTCCCCAAACTCATCCCCATTAATACTTACTCTGCACTTGAATCTGGGACAGGTAGCTCTGTTTTCTGATGCTGTGTGTGTTGTCTCTACCTGGCACCAGTAAGACCCTGAATCTTCATTCCACATGGTTGGGATTTGGAGCTCTGGGGAGCTGCTCCAGCCTGGCCCCAAGACCCTACTATCTCTGAAAAAGCGAAATTGGAGCTGAACATCTGACCTCTGTGGAGATAACCAGGTCACACAAGTCAGGGTGACTGGGCTCCCCTCAGTGGGCCAGGAGGGTCTGGCTGTCAGCACAGGATGTGGAAACAGCTCTAGAGAGAAGAACCATAAGAGTCCCAGAGAAATGAGATGGGGATCCCTGGTGAGAAGCAACCTTGACAAACAGGACATTCAGAACCAGACACATCACCATGTCTCCCATGCATGGTCAGACCACAAGCCTTGAGTCATCTGGCATGTGGGGAGCTCTGCCTGACAGGTACCCACCCAACTCTCCACCAGCCAGTCCTCTCCAGCCTGGCTCCAATAGGAGGAATGGGTTTACCTCAGACTTCCATCTCTACTATTCTTGAAGTTGCTCATTTTGTCCATGATTTTCTTTGAGTAACAGTACAATGATACTTGCCACTGTCCCTCAGAGCTACACTTTGTATAATGAAGTTTGAAGCTGCATTTGTCAAAAACACCTGTTTTTTATTCTTGTAATAAGTCACAGTCTTTATTTTCCAGTTATTCTTATTCTGGCACATCAGAACTATTCGGTCTCCTTCAAAGACAGAAGAGGGAGCCAGGAACTTCAGTTCATCTGTGAAAGAGGGCACTGCGAGACAAAGAGACAGAGACAGAGACATATCACAGATGTGATTTGTCATTTCTGTCCCACATATGTGTAGCCTGCTCCCTTGCCCTTGGGCAGTGATTCCGTATCAGTGTAATGTCTTCCCCTTCAGACAAGATAGAGGTTCCAGCACATGCCTTCATTACTCATGGTGCCATCACATTTTTCCTGAGGGGATTTTTGTCAGCTTGAGCTACTATAACAAAATACCATAAACTGGGTGACTTATCAATAATAAAAATTTATTCCTCACAGTTCAGGAGCTGGAAGTCTGATATCAGGGTGGTCAGGTTCTGGTGAGGACCCTCCCCCTAGTTGCAACTACTGACTTACATGGCAGAAAGAGAACTAACCATTTCTCTGGCCTCTTTTAGAGGCACAAATCTCATTCATGAGATCCACCCTCAGCATCTAAATACAATCCAAAGCCCACCTCTAAAGATCATCACATTGGGACTAGAATTTCAACTTAGGAATGGGGGAGAGCTCAAGTATTCTGCTCATTGCAGGGAGTGTCATGGTAAGCATAACTATGTATTTGGGTCAAGAGTCCTGCAGGTTCTTTCCCCTTAGCTCTCCCCATAGGTAGCATCACACAGGGACCATTGTCCTCAACAGACACTGCTTTCCCATTCCCTGTCTTCATCCAGCCTGTAGAGGCACTACACTGCATTAGAAATTCATGTTTTCGGGCCTCCCCGGTGGTGCAGTGGTTGAGCGCTGGGCTACGAAGCTACCCGCAGCCTCTGCAGCACCGGTTCGATCCCTGGCCGCCGGCGAGGGTCCCACATGGCGCGCAGACCTCTCCTGCCGCCCGCTGCTCCCCTCAGCAGTGTATTTCATCAGTCTGCCTGTCCTGTTCCCTGCTCTGGCTCTGGTAAATTCTCTCACCCTCCCACGCTTCTGACTGTACCCAGTGCTTGTATAAACAAATAAATAAAATCTTAAAAAAAAAGAAAGAAAGAAATTCATGTTCTCTTCGTTCTTGCCTTGTTGGATGAAACAATCATGTGGCCTGGATAAACGGGAATAAGTTGATTACTGAAGCAAATCCCAGTATTTTAAATCTCAGAACTTTCCATGTGAATTCTTTCAAAAACATTTCCTATCCATTTAATGTATAATGAACTACAGATGAGTTTTAATTTAAGGTTCTGGTTTCAGGTGACTGATTATAGTGAGCACAATTCATTGCCTTCCCGAAGTGCTCATCTTATGTTGGCCATAGATTCTTAATTTCTGCCCTGTCACTTCATATATTTATAGTACCAGACTATGTTCTCTGTGGCATCTGCACAATATTTTAAGATTATAGCAAGGGAATTTAACCTTGAGGTGAGGGACTAAGTTATTGCTATCTACCTCTGCTCAATTGTATCAGAATGCCAGAATTTGTATGTGTAATGTAAGGAAGTAGATGCCAGTTATAGAAGAGATGTGATACTTGATAAAATACCATTGTAGAGTAGCACAAGAAGCTTATGGAATTTGGTATTATAATTTGCGGGGGGGGGATGTATGCTTTCACTATTGGCTCTTCTAGGCGGAGAACCAGATTTCCCTCTTCAACACTGGAGGACAATCTTTTATTTTGCAATAAAAATGGAAGCACTGAAAGGGTGAATTGCAGAAACAACTTCATTCAAGGGGTTTTGCCTTCCTTCACAGGTGGAGACTGGATCCCATGGGGACTCAGCCATTGAATTTAAAATCAAGCAAATTTTTAAACCACTAGTATTCCCCTCATCCAAAAACTAGAAAATTTCCCAAGGATAATGCTGTCATGGATAGAAGGAAACCATTGTGAGTCGTGGTCAGAGATGCTATTGAAAAGGTATGTAACCAGCAACTTTTCAAACACAGGCTTTAGTTGACTAAGGGAGCTTTATGTTGGTCCTCAATGATGACTTATAGGATGTAATGACTGCAAGAGATGAGTCCTTCTCCTGAGCAAGCACCAGGCCAGAATTTCTGTAGGTGCCCCTGGACATTCCTACTCTATTACTGGCTCACCAGTACCAGTGAGACAGGATCTATTTGCCCCAGTGTAATTCCTTAGAGTCCAGAGTCCTTTTTACTGGATGGTTAATGTTGGATAAGCAAGGGAACTATTCTCCATATTTTAGATTTAGTTTTGCTTCATGTGGATATCCTGCATATAGACACTAGAATATCTTTTTTTCATTTACTTCCTTTGTTGAGCACATGTATGAACAAATACACAGTGAAATAATGGCCTATAGTAAGTGCTGACAAACTATGGATTGTGAGGTGCTCAGTTACCTGTTTTGTTAAATAAAGTATCACTGGAACAAAACCTTGCCCATTCATTCACACATAGGCTACAGCTGCATTCCTGCCACAGTGATATATCAGTTACAACAGAGATCTGCAAGCTTAGACTACACATTCTGATGTTTCACAGACATGTTTGCTGAATCCTGACCTAGGGTTAGAGAAAAAATGATGACACCTCATTGCGACCATGCAGTTCTTAGTCATTTTCCTCAAAAAATAATCATTTTCAGAGTGGCAAGAACATTCACAGAGACAACGTGGAGAAGTTATGATCCCATGGCCAGGATACAATTCTTTTCAAACTGACCTTCTGTCTAGTCTGCACATCCTCTTTCAGATGCTATTTCCCTCCCTACATCTGGAGTTTTAACAAGGAACAAATACTTGATCTTGAGAAACCTGGGCAGGACCTGCTCACCTGGCCATCCCCACTGGACCTTGTGGTAGGCAGGCGATGCATATACCAGAGACCAAGAACAACAAAGGTGATTGACTTACCTGCCTGTTCCGTGACTGGAACGGGTATTGCCAAGAGGGAGTCCACCAGGGATTGGGGATGACTCCCTTTCATTTTTTCTTCTCTTCCCCTTAACCTTCATATCCATGCTTTTCTCAGGGCAGACACACTGCTACATCATTATCCCATCTTGAGTCACAAAGAGTTCATCAGAAACATGTCCTGTGAGAAATATGAGCATTGAACACATCCTGAACTGACACTTTTTCCCTGATCATATTTTATGTTAGGGTCCTTTTCCTCATTTAACAAACACCTAACTAGTGTCCAGTGAGCATGGAGAAGGAATCCTGTTTCCCAGCAATCCTTTGTTAACCTCATACATATCCCATGACTAAGCAAAGGAATGTTAGTAAATGGCCTCAGATCATCTTCTTTTTTTTTTTTTCTTAAAAGATTTATTTATTTATTTACACAAGCACTGGTACAGTCAGAAATGCGGGAGGGTGAGAGAATTCACCAGAGCCAGAGCGGGGAGCAGAACAGGCAGAAGGACGAAGTACACTGCTGAGGGGAGCAGCGGGCGGCAGGAGAGGTCTGTGCACCATGTGGGACCCTTGCCCGGCGCTGCAGAGACTGCGGACAGCTTCACAACCCAGTGCTCAACTGGTGCGCCACCAGGGAGGCCCTCAAATCATCTTCTGAACACAAATCTTACAGATAAGTGTTTGAATTGTTTTCTTTTTTTTTTTAATTATTTTTTTCAATAGAGGCATGTTTTATTTATTTATTTGTTTGTTTGTTTGTTTGTTTGTTTTGTTTATACATGCACTGGGTACAGTCAGAAGCGCGGGAGGGTGAGAGAATTCACCAGAGCCAGAGCGGGGAGCAGAGCAGGCAGAAGGACTGAAGTACACTGCTGAGGGGAGCAGCGGGCGGCAGGAGAGGTCTGTGCGCCATGCGGGACCCTCCTCTGGTGGCCGGGGAGCAGCCGGGGATCGAACTGGCGCCGCAGAGGCCGCGGGCAGCTTCGCAACCCAGCGCTCAACCGCTGCGCCACCGGGGAGGCCCTTGAATTGTTTTCATGAGGAATAGTAAGCATTGAAATTTTATTTGTGAAAGCATATAACATTTATAAGATATAAGATATTAAAACAAAATTTATAAGCAAGAAGTGATAAAGTGACTTCCTTGAACATTAAGAATTGGCATGCATTGTGACTTGCTTTTCCTGGTGTCCACTGCTTCCTATCTGCCTTTGAAGCATAAGCTGAGAGTATAGATCTGAGCTTTCCCATTGGCCGTAGGGCTGTGATAAATCCTCACACCTTTCAGAAGCTGGAGACCTTCTCTTGCTGCCATCTCATTTCTAACTTAAGTGATTGAACTCACCAAAGATGATCAGCAATGAGCACAACAGCATGAGAACCTGATTCATCTATTTGAGAAGAGAAGCTCCTGAGCCACCAGCTAGAACCTTTGTGCAAAGAAAGGAAACTGCTTTTCAAAATACCTTTATCAAAAAAAGGAAGTAAGAGAGTTCTGAAATCTTCATTTTAACAGATTTTATGCAGGTGATATGGTTTCAAGTTTCTGCCTTTTGCAGACCCAAGGCTTTGTCTCTTCATTACACATGGACTTTAAATGCTTAGCTTATGAAAATTATCTAGTGTAATATTTCCATCCCTACTCCTCCCCAGAGGCGCAGACATGTCAATTTACATGTTTAACACTCTGTTTTCACTTCTTTTTAAAATCTATAATGGGGGGATTTCCCTTCTTTTTATCTGTTTAATTATGCACTTAAAATATGTAATATTCACTCATCACTAAGTGAATTGAATGAATGCGTGAATGTGTCCTCTGACTAGGGATTATAACTGTGAACTGGAAAGGAGTTGTCAGTAGAATATATAGAAGAGTTAGCAAAAAACCCTTGAAGGAAAACCTAGACTTTGGTTCTAGGGAAAGCACAATTTATGCTAGCACAATTTATGTTCAACTGCCAGGAACACACTCACAAGAAACTGCTGTGTGTGTTGGTTGGTATAGTCAGTTACCATGGTTCTCAGTTCCTTTTGGCCATTGGCCTTCCTGTTTGGAAAGTCATAGCCCATCTACCTTCTGGAAATCCACATGCATACAATTAAAACAGAAAGTAGAAAGTTTAATATTGCACAACCTTTGCCCTCTGGGTCCCTTCTACACCTGTTGTCCCCAAGGAGCCCTAGTCACTTACCATGAGATATTTTCACACAGGGAGGGAGGATTCCATCTGTTGAAAGTGCTGCTGTGAGATCTGCTATGGGTTTTGAAATTGAGGGTTTTTTCAGTGCAGATTTTGTTTAGGAAAATTAATCTAATAGATATTTATAAAATGTTGCACCCAATAATTGCAGAATGTACATTCTTCTTAAGCACTCATGGATATCTTATGCAGTTTGAGTCTACGTTAGTCTCAAATACTTCATAGACAAGAAAACATAAAAATAATAGTCTCTATTTTCAATGACATTAAGCTAGAAAAAATAAAAAAATAACTAGAAAATTCATATATTTTTGGAAGTTTTTTACTGTTAATGAAATTTTTTTTAATTATGGATTTTATTTTATCTTATTTTAGTATTATTGAAATAATATTGTTTTAAAACATCATATGATTTGGAGGTGTTGGTTTATACGTCTTCAAATATATGTTACCCCATTATACACAACAACAAAAAAATTCATAATCTTCCACTGTAGTCTATCAGGCCCCCTCCCTCATTTGCTCAACACTCCCCAGCCTACCCTTCCAGTAAACTCAATTCTACAGTCAGATTTATAGGTTTCATTTTGGTTTATATCTGTCTGTTTCTTTGTTTCGTTTCTTTATTCGACACATGAGAAGATCTTCTGGTATTTTTCTTTGTAATCCATTCATGTGTTGTTGGGCACTTAGGTTGTTCCCACAACATGGTTATTGTAAATAGAATTCCAATGAACATAGGAGTGTGTATATTCCTTTAAATTAGTATTTTTGTATCCTCAGGCAAATACCTAGGAGTGAAATAGCTGCATCATATGGTCAATTTATTTTTAGTGTTTTGATAAATATCCATGGCATTTCCCATTGAGGATAGGCTGATCTAATATTCTAATAACCGTGTATAAGTGCTTCTTTTCTTCTGCCTCCTCACCAAAACTTGTTGAATCAGCTATCAAAAACCTCCAAAAATATCCCAGGACCACATGGTTTCATGGAAGAATACAAAATATTAAAAGAAGACCTAAAATCAATCATTCTTAAACTGTTCCAAAATATTGAAGGAGAGGAAGCATTTTAAAAAAATTTATGAGGGCAAAGTTATCCTGATGCCAAAGCAACACAAGGAGACTATAAGGAAAGAAATAACAAGAATTATCCCTAATGAATGAAGACGTAAAATTTCTCCACAAAATACTACCAAATTGAATTCAGCATGTTAACAAACACCATGATCAAGTGGGAGTCATACTAAGAATAAAAGAATGGTTCAACAGATGTAAATGAACCAATGTGATACATCAAAAAGAATGAAGATTAAAAATCATATGATCATCTCAGCAGAACAGAAAAGGCATTTGACAAAATTCAAAATGCTTTCATAATGCTCTCAACATTAAGTATAAAGAGTGTAGCTCCACATAATAAAAGCCATAAATAGAAACTCACAGTTATTTATACTCAATAGTGAAAAGCTGAAGCTTTTCCTCTAAGATTAGGAATAAGAGTGCCTACTTTCACTATTTCTATTTCTATCCAATATAGTACTGAAGGTCATAACCAGAGCACTTATTCAAGAGAAGAAAAAAAAAAACATTGGAAGAAAGAAGTAAAACTACTTATTTGCAGTGATGTGATCTTTATTTAGTAAATCCTAAGGATTTCTACAAAATACTGTTAGAAGTCATAAATTTAGTTAAGCTTCAGGATACAAAGTCAATACATAAAACTCAGTTGTGACTTTATACAATAACAACAAGCTACCTGAAAATAAAACAACCCATATACTACTGCAAAAAAAAAAAAAGAAATAGAATACTAAACATTAAATTTAACCAAGGAAGTTAAATGATCTGTATAATGAAAACTTTAAAACTTTGATATAAGACATTGGAGAAGGGCCTCCCTCGTGGCGCAGGTGGTTGAGAGCAGCACTGTGAAGCTGTCCGCAGCCTCTTCAGTGCTGGTTCAATTCCCGCCAGCCTCGAAGCAACCCACATGGAAAGCAGACCTCTCCTGTCTTGCCCGCTGCTCCCCTCAGCAGTGTATTTCAGTCAGTCTGCCTGTTCTGTTCCTCGCTCTGTCCCTGGTGACTCCTCTCACCCTCCTGCACATCTGGCCTGTACCCCGGTTCTTGTATAAATATAATAAATCTTTAAAAAAAAAGACTTTGGAGAAGACACAAATAAATAGAAAGATATCCCTTGTTCATGGATAAGAAGGATTAATATTCTTAAAATGTCCATACATCCGAAAGCCATCTATCAATTCAATATAATCACTACTAAAATATCAATGGAATGTGTTTTACAGAAATAGAAATATAGCCTAAGATTTATACAGACCCTCAAAAGACCCAACATACCCAAAACAATCTTGAAAAGAACAAACCTGAAAGCATCATACTTTCCAGTTTAACGTAACTGTGTGGCAAATCTATCATAATAAAAATGTCATGGTATTAGCATAACAACAGACACATAAACTAATGGAGCAGAACTGAGAGTCCAGAAATAAAATCCAGGTATATACAGTCAACTAATATTGACAAGGGAGATGAGAATATTCAATGGGAAAGTAACAGTCTCTTCAATTAATTGGAAAACTGGATATTCACATGCTGAATATTGAAACTGCATCCCACTCACAACATGGTGGAATAGAGAGGCTGGGATAACCCTCTACCTTAAAAACAACCGTAAAAAGTAAAATTTGCTCATAGGAAGATCCACACACTCTGTCCAGCTTTCAAGGTCCCAGGATTTCACCTTGGAGATCTCAAACTAAGGTTGGTGGCCACTGAGGGGAAGAAGTGGGAGGAAGCAAAGGGTAGCATAACTGGTGAGTAGATATCACAGCTAGAATAATACTGGGGGTTGACCAGTTTAAGAATGATTGATTTTAGGTCTTCTTTTAAATCATGACAGGGACAACCTGGGACATTGTGAAATTCCCTGGAGGAACTCTGCTGATATGCAAGTAGGCAGACACTGGCCTGGGGTAGTGGGAACTATGCAGACACATACCCAGAATTTGGGAACTCCACATTCATCCTGGACACAGAAAACTCCTTTCCAGTCCCCCTTCCAGAAAAGATCAAGAGACGCTATGGCTGAGCTAAGCCAGATGCCATAAAAATGCCCAATAGCAGAGAGGACTTAAGAGATAACTCATGAGTCACTAGGAAAGTATTGTTTATGGTGCACAGACATTTCAGACCTGCAGAAGTGGCAGCAGAAGCAGGGCAAAGAGACTCAAGCTTCATAGATCATGATGTGAAGCAGAAAGGAGCAGCAGGGAAGCAAGTTAGGTAGTTAGACAAACTGAGTGCAGAATACTGCTTGCTGTAGAATGAAAAAAGAGGAAGTAGAGGTGACCAAGCTCACTGCTCAAACTGAAATCAAGCATTAAATGCCCCCATTTCCCTTCTGCCCCCACCTCATGTCAAAGTAAACTAAGCAGAGAAACAGTCAAAACTAAATCTCCAGCATGCCCATGCCCTCCCCCACACCCACCTCCCCTCCCCTGCACAACACAGAGCAAATAGTGCAACACATGTGCCTAGGAAGCAAGGGACATCTGCACACTAGAGAAAGCAAAATGAAAAGAACAGAAGTCCCAACACAAATTGAACACCTAGCAAAAATTTCAACACCACAACATCGGAAATGCTAAATGAACTACCAGAGAGCAAAGGCAGACAGGCAACCGCAAGTTCTTATAAAGGAGATCCAGGAACCAAAATAGTTCCTCACCAAATCAATTGAATATAGGAAAAGATCACAGAAAGAGACTGGATGAAATGAAAACAAATTTAAAAAAAAAAACTTTAAGTAGAATTAAACAGGCAGAAGAAATAATTTCAGATGTAGAAGACTCAAATTAACAAATCACCAACTTAGAAAAAGAGAGATTCAAGACAAAGGAAAAAATGAGGAAACTCTATGAGAAATACAACACTCAATTAAAAGAGAATCCTTAAGAATAACTGGAATCCCAAAAGGGAAAGAAAGAAATGAGGGCAGAAACCCTATTCAAAGAAATAACAACTGATAATTTCCCAAACCTAAAGAATGAACGAAATATCATTGTCCAACAACCAAATTATTAAATGCAAGAAGACCTACAATGAGACACATCATTATCAAATTATCAAAAATCAAAGATAGAGAAAAAAT